AGAAGAAGAAGAAGAAGAAGAAGAAGAAGAAGAAGAAGAAGAAGAAGAAGAAGAAGAAGAAGAAGAGAAGAAGAAACAAAAGAAAGACAATACTGTTTTCAGCAAAGGAGTCTAAAGTGCAAACTCAGGGCAGGGGAGATGGCTCAGTAGAATAAGTGCTTGCCTGGCAAGTACAAGGTCCTGAGTTCAATCCCCGGCACTGTAAGAAAAAAAAAAAAAGAAAAGAAAGAAAAAGAAAAGTAGGCCTGGCGAGATGGCTGAGTGGTCTAAAGCTCCTGCTTAGGCAAGCCTAGGTAGGCTCAGAGGACCGCAGTTCTATTCCCAGCACCACACAAGGCGCCAGCCACACCCTCAGGGTGGGCTGAGCCAGCAAAAAATAAAGTGCAAACTCCCACTTGCCCTACCCCAATGAGCTATCCTTTTTATCTCATTTAAAAAGTTATGCTCAAAATAGATTTACCGTTTTTCTGCAAATATTATATAGCAGAATTTATAAAACGATAGTTACAAAATACATGTCATGCGTTTTATATATTGCATTCCTATGAAGGATTTCCTCGGCAGCGATAGATAGTTCCTCTGCAAACAAAAAGCCAAACCCAGGCTAGAAACTCCAGGGTACCGTCCGGCCCCGCCCCCTTGGCGGACCAATCAGCGGCTCTCGTGGGCGGGACGTTGAGCCGCCGGGAGATCCAATGGCTGAGCAGGCGCCGCTGCGCGTGCGCGGCGGAGACCGGCCGGGCGGAGCTGTGCGCTTGCGCGGTCGTCCTTGTCTCCGGCCCGCCAGGCAGGCGTCTTCCCGGAGAGGCGGGCGGGCCACTTGGGCAGTGAGTCCGCGGGGCCGGGTGGGTTTGTGCCGCGGCAGCGCCGCGCGTTCGGGGACTCGGGGAGGCCGCGGGCGTTCCCGGGCGGGCCCCGGGCCTGGAGCAACTTCGGCTCCGTCTGAGCGGGCGTCGCCATTCCTTGGTCTCGGTTATCTTCGGGAACTCCGGGCGTAATATGAGCAAAACAGCCAGCGGACTAGCCCGTATTTAATTTTAGTTTACATTTGAAAACTCCAGGCCTCATTTGAATGTAAAATGTTAAGAAATGCCTGTGTGTTTATGATGGGGGTGAACCTCAGGCGGGGGGGGGAGGCGGTTCTCGCGTCCCAGGACTGTGACAAGTGTGGTTCCCGCCGTGGCTTCGTCATCTAGGAACTTGCTGGAAATGCACATTGTTAAGTTTGAGAGCCGCGGCTCCAGGAAGCTGCACACGGGGCCGAGCTACTTGCAACTCGGTGACTTTCCTGCCGCAGGAGACTAACACGGACGGTTCAAGTTTCCGCCTTCCCCGATGCACGTGCAGTTTCGTTAAAGGGAAAGACTTTCCCCTAGCGGCTGGCGACCCCGCGACCTTTCTGACAGGCAGCCTTCTGTCTCGAGGCTCCCCTTGCAGCCCACTCTTCGGATCCTGAAGCTCCCTGCCCACTAAGACACCCTCGTCCCAGAGAAACGCTTCGGCGCATTCCCCCGGCCTCAGGCGTCCATGGCCTTGGCCAGGTTGTTTTGCTCATTTATCGCATGAGCAGCAACTTCCAAGAGTTTTTGTGAGGATAAATAAATCAGTGTATCGACGAAGTATTAGCTCCGATCACGGTGTATATTAGGATTTTGGTGGTGTTAGTACCAAAGCTTGATCAGGTGAGAAAAGTGGCAAGCCAGATAGGAACTGGGGGAGAGAGGCCAGTACCTGCTGTTGATAGGTGGTGAAATGACACAGGTGCCACCATTATACAACGTAAGGTGGGTACTTTGCCACTCAGCTTGATCTGTGGACACCTGGTCTGTTCCATTAGCAGAGCTTGTTAGAAATCCAGGGTCACCTCAAATGCTCCCGCAGGTTTTTTCATTTATTTATTTATTGGGGGTGGGGGGGTACCAGGAATCAAACTCCAGCCTTTTTGTTTTCCAGGCAAGTGCTTGTGTCGCTGAGCTGTATTCCTGGTCCTGACCCAGCAGGTTTATTTACTTATTTTATGTATTTTGTACAGGGTCTCACTATGCACCTCTGAATTCTAGTGATCCTCCTGGCTCAGCCTCCCCAGCGCTGGGATTACAGGCATGTGCCACCACTCCCATCTTGGCCGGCGTGGCACGTGGTGCCTGGAATTGAATCCTGCACCCTGTGCTTGCATAAGCAGGCACTTAGTCTGCTGAGGTATCTTACCACTCTCTAGCAGGTTCAGATGCAAGGTCTTTTTGGAAGAAATATGAGTTCTGCCAAGACTTTATTCCTAAACTTAATTTGGCCCCTCCCATAAAGTATTCAGTTGTTCAGTATTTCTGAGTCCTGGGAGTTGGACAGTTGTTGTAACTCAAAAATGAGGCAGGCTCGAAAAGAAAAGCGCTTTATTTTAGCTGGTACCCAGCAGTAGACACCCCGGCAAGATGCTAAGGTGCGCCCCGGGAGGTTGAGGGGAGTGGGTATTTAAGCCAGTAAACCACAAAAGCTGACATCAAGGGTTCATCTAGGGGCTACAGTTGAAAAATTACCTGTTTCTAATGAACAGTAACAGGTGCAGTGGTGGGTACAGTTTGTAGCAGGGAACGAGGGCAAGAACAGGGCAGTGGGCCGGAACTAGATTCAGGTGTGCACAAAGGACAGCAGGAGAAAGGCCCAACTGCAGGTTCTCAAGTAGAGAATGGGGCACAGTGGAAAGTTACAGCATTTAGAATGGCGCATACAGAACAAGATGGCGGTGCATATGTCTGGTTATAACAGTTAATATACGTTACAGTGGAAGGATACAGAGTTACAAAATTGGCATCAGTTTCACAGGTTATAACAGTGATTTCAATATTTTTATTTTATATATACATAATATATGTGTATATTAATTTTATATTTTCAAACTACTAGGAGTAAATTGAGAAAGTTATTTGTCCAATTCTTGTGCTCCTTGTTTCTTTTTATAGTTCATTATGGTCAAACTTCCTCAATACATAAGGAGTCTGTATGGTATTGATTTTTTAGTCTTCTATTTAAGAAATCTATTAGCTTTTGGAACTGCCATAATAAAGTACTGCAGATTGGTTTGCTTAAACAATGATTTTAATTTTTTACAGTTTTGGAGGCTAGAAGATTACAAGGGGTTTTTTTTGGTTTTGGTACTGGGAATCGAACTCATGCCCTCCCTCTTGCCGGGCAGGCACTGGCTACTGAGCTGTCTCCCTGGCTTGGAAAAGAGAGATCTTTGGTTTGTACATGGCCTGCATCTTCATGTCTGCTTGCTTCTGACCCATCTGTTGCCAGATGTCCTTGTAGAACATGAGTCGTTCGTTGGGCTCTACCCTCCTAGCAGCATTTTAGCTTAGTTCTTTAGAAACCTTTTCTCCAAATAAAGTCACTCTGAGATCCTGAAAATTAGCAATTCAAAGTAAGAATGTTGAGGGTGATACAATTCAGTCCATAACAGTATGTCTATTTAAACTTTTTTTTTTTTTGTATTTTGGGGACGGGTCTACAGGTTGTTCAGGGTCTCACTACTAGATTGGACTCGTAGTGATCCACCTGTTTACAGCCTCCCAAGAGCTGGGATTACAGGTGGGCGCCACCATGCCCAGTCTCAGTTGCCATCTCAGCCCCAGGGGCGGGACCGGCAAGGCACACCTGGGGATCAAACCTCCTGCCCCTGTGCCTGTAAACTTTTTTCGTTAAATAGACATCCAGAAAATCTTATAAAATGTCAGTGTTCACTTGTTAACCTATTAAGAAGGGAACACCCATGTGCCTACTGTCCAGGTTAAGAAATACAGTATTGATTGTATCCCAGAAGTCTTCCAGTATTTCCCTCGTGTCATGTTTGCTCTCTGACATTTTCAGTATTTAGCACTGAGTGTGGTGTGTGTTGTGGTACACTATGTGGTAGAGTGGCCCCCTTGCAGTACGAGTGCCCGTGAGTGCCTGTGAGTAGCTGAGTCAGGCGTCGCCTTTGCTCCTGGGCAGAAGTGGCATCTGGCTCTGTGTCTGACCGCCTCATCTCATGTCACAGTTTTTGAGGCATCATGTTTGCTTCTTTGCTTCTTCCTCCCCTGTCATGCGTGTTTAGTGTGACCCGGTTGAGATGTGGTCTGTGCCTGTGCCACCACCTCACGATGAGTGCACGTGCACTGTGAACGTGTACTAATTTTTTTTTTTTAAAAGTTATCTGTGTTCCGGGGAGATAGCTTGGCCGCCTAAGTGCCTGCCTGGCAAGCGCAAGGATCTGAGTTCGATCCCTGGTACCCCAGTCCTTCATGCGGTGTCAGCCTAGAAAACTGGGCGTGGTGGCACACACCTATAAGCCTGGCACTGGGGATGCTGAGACAGGAAGGTCACTATGAATCTGAGCTGTAGCGAGGCCCTGTATCAAATGAAAAAATGAAAGGTTAAAAAAAGTTAACCAGTACTTCAAATTCTGTTTGTTTTTTTTTTGCGGTACCAGGGATTGAACTCAGGACCCTGCGCTTGCCAGGCAAACACTTATTCTACTGAGCTATATTCCTGCCTCAAATTCTGTTTCTTGTGCCACTTCTCAGTGGATTATTTCCAAGTTTTCCTAATTAGATAAGCTTTCTCCAATCTTTAAAATCCTTTGGATCCTTGCTATGGCTTTGATCATTTATATTTGCTGACTACCAAACGTTGATTGTGGTCCATTTGTCAACCACTAGGCTGGGAGTTGGGCTTGGAGCGTTGAGTGGAAGGGGTGAGTGGAAGGGTGGATTTAGATCTCGCTAAGATGTTGCCTGTCTGAGGGGGAGCTTATGTTAGTGTTGTGCACAGTGGTTTTCAACTTTGGCTGCACCTTGGAACATTGGCAGAGCTTTAAAAATCCAGCACCTGTGTCCCAGCCTCAATGATGCTGGATTGTTTTGCTGAATTCACACACCTATAGTGTTTAGATGCCAATGGAAGGCCCATTTCTGATAGAACTAAACAAAGGCAATACAAAGGAAGGACCATTTTTGTATCTGTACATGCAGAATAGTTAGGATAGATATACAGCTACTTTTGCTTAATCAATGAGAAAGATTTGTAGTAATAGTGTTTGGACAGGATATCCTGTCTGCTTCTTGTACTATGGATAGCCACTAAGAAGATAATAATGTACAGTGTATTATTTTTTTTAAACATTTATTGTGTGTGTGTGTGTGCGCGCGCGCGCGCACACGGCCAGCTCAGCCCACCAGGGGGCGGGGCGGGCTGGCATGTGGTGCTGGGGGATCGAACAGTGGCTGTGCTTTGCCAAGCTTGTTCCAAGTAGGTGCTTTAGACCACTGAACCATCTCACCAGCCCTACAGTGTATTACTTATTGAAACTGTCCTATTTATTAGTTTTGAAACTGTCTTATTGGTATTTGTTTCCCAGAAAAAAAAATCAGGTTATACTTCATTCCATAACATTAGAATAAATGTTATTTACCCAACTAAAGTGCAAATTTCAGTGGTTTTTAATTTTTTACTTTTTGGCTTTTTGAGACCAGATCTTGCTGTGCAGCTCAGCTGGCCTGGAACTCACTGTGTAGTCTAGCTGGCCTCAGATTGACAGCGAGCCTGCTGCCTTGGGCTTCCAAGTGCTAGACTTACGGGTGTGCACCGCCATGCCTGGTTTCGTGCTTAGTATGGACACAGAAGCCCAACCGGTGCCACAGTTGGAGAACACTTTTGCTTGCTTGTACCTTTGCACTACAGTGCCTTTATAGCGCTGTACGCACAACCTTAAGCACCGATTAACCTGCTTTCTGTTGCTATACATTTGCCGATTCCGGACATTTTCATGTTAGTGGAATCATGTACCCTGCAGTCTTCTTGGACTGGCTTGTCTTACAGAGCGTAACTTTCACGGTTTATTTATGTTGTAACATGGTATCAGAACCGCTTCTATGGCCAAGTAATACTCTGTTGTATGACTGTGCCACATTTTGTTTTCCCAGTCATTAACTGATGCAAACTTTTTCTCCACTTTTTGGCTGTTTGGAAAAAAAGTAGTTATAAACATTTCCGTGTAAGTTTTTGTGTGGACATATACTTTCATTTCTCTTGGATTTATACCAGTTAATAGAATTGCTGGACCATAGGAAAATACCTGCTTTCTTATTTCAGTGAGACTGTTGTACATATGTATATTTCATATGTGAATGCCATTTATTTTTATTTCATGTACTTTCCTTAATTACTATGCAGAATGTGTTGTAGCACTTTGGAGGCTGAGGCAGGAACATTGCTGTGACTTCAAGCCCTGCTTGGGCTACGTAGTGAGATCAGAAGCAGCCCGGACTACATAGTGAGACCTTGGCTCAAAAACGACAGAACTGCAGTGCTGTGTTAGCTCTAGGAGGAAGTAGTTTATGTTGCAGCAGTAATTACCTCTAAGATAGCTGTTACCGCTTTCTCAGCCTTTTACAGGATGCGGGGTTCCCTGCTCCTTTGCGAGTGTCTGCTGCTGGTAGCGGGCTATGCTCATGATGAGGACTGGATCGACCCCACGGACATGCTCAACTACGACGCAGCCTCTGGAACCATGAGGAGGTCGCAGGTGCAAGCGAGTGCGCAAGCGGGACCCTGTCCTGCAGAGGGGGTGGTCTGTTTCTGCTGTGATTTGCACAGAGCCGTGGAAGTAATGTATTAACAACTAGCAGTTCTTTAGAATACGTCTTTTTTTTATGGCAGTGGGGGTCGAGCCCAGGACCCTTTGTATAGCAAGCGAGGACCCTAGCCCTGAACTGTGACCCAGCCCCAGAACACCTATCTTAATCTTAAATAAGATTATTTCCAGCTCACCTGGCTGGTTGTTTTGGATTCGAACATAAAGTCTGTCAAGCTGTAGGCCAGTTTGATGTTCTTAAAACATACATTTGAGATTTTTACATTTTGATGGCTCAATAGAAGAATATAGTGAGAAAAGTCATAAAATGAAGTCAAACTTAGTCTTCATTAGCTGAAGATTATTTTAATGGTTGAACTGTAAAGAAGTAAAATTTCTCTACTTTGTTTTAGGTGAAATATGGTATATCAGAGAAAAAAGATGACAGCGCTGGCTTGTCATATGCTGATGAAGTGTCGGAATGTTACAGCAGACTTGATTCTTTAACTCAGAAGGTAGGATGTTTTCCATGTGTGTTCGGCTAAGTTCTGTTTTCCTGTCTTTGGTAATGTTTGTATTTCTGTATGCTGTATCATTTATAAATTTTAGTTACTCCAGTCTTGGTTTCTTCTAGTAGTAGGTTTTTTGTGTTTTTTTCCCCTCTAGTAGTATTTTGTATTTTTAAAAGAAGTCTTAGCATGTTACACTATAACTATTCCCTTCCCAAACTTTGGAATTGTTGGCATAAAGAATGTACTTTATTCATCTTTATTCTGCACCACGTAGTGTGGCACTGGGCAGAGAGGCAAATGCAGCAGATGAAGAAATTGGCCCAGTACGCATTTTTAAGCATAAAGATCACAATTTAGTGTGTGGTAGCTGGTGGTTCCTTTTTACTTGGGCCTTTTAAAAACTGGCTGCTGAGGATAGGAGTGTTGTTACAGGGCGGAGCAGCTTGGTTGTGTGCTGGGGGAGCCATCTGTTGGCTATGTAGGCTGAGTGAGCTGGCCGCAGGGTGGGGGCCGGTGGAGAGGGGTGGTTGTGCTGTCCTTTGTGGTCGCAAAGGTCTAGCAGTGCTGAAGACACGTGACAGGCAAGGCACAGAGCAGTGTGAAGTGGCACAAGGTAGAGAAAACGGGTGGAGCGAGGAGAGACCTGAGGTCGGGGAGCGCTTGTTAGCAGACCTCCTCCGGGTGGGTCCGTTTAGGCCCCCAGCACCTCTTGTGCATCTTACCCTGTTTGTCGTTTGCTCCAGGTCAGCTGTGTTTTGTGGTGTAATGTGCTAGTTGAGTTGCGCAGTGAGAAATTCAGAAATGCCTTTTCCTTTGTGATTTTAGCTCAAAGATGGTAAAGCCATGATGGGTAAAATGGAGCCTTGAGTCCTATGTCTGTCTGTCTTTTTTTTTTTTGGTACCAGGAATCAAACTCAGGACCTTGGACATTTCAGGCAAGCTCTTGTGCTGCAGAGCTATATCCCTAGCCCTTGAGTACTATTTCTTTTGTGGTGCTGGGGATCAAAAGCCTTGCATATGGAAGTCAAGTGCTCTACTGTGGGGTGCGCTTGAATCTGTAGTTAACACGTTTTAAAAATAAGCTGGGTTAGGTGGCCCGCAGCTCCAAGCCTGTAATTCTGGGAGGCTGAGGCAGGAGGGTGGTAATTCTGGGAGGCTGAGGCAGGGCCTAACTTGTAACCTAGTGAAGGGATTGGGGAAAATATATTATGGGCAGGTACAGATTCCCTATGATGAATATGACCTTATGTAAGATATGCCAGAACAATTAATTTAAAAATTAAAAGTGGTCTCGTGATAAAAATCATCACAAATTCAATATAGGTTAAATCCCTGTGTTCAGTTTCCACTATCAAAAAAAGAAAAATGTATGTATTTTTAACAAACTAGTTTATAAAACTTGCTTTGAAAGCCCACAAAAGTGCGGCAGGTCTTGTAATTCTGTGTGTGCATTGCTTGATTATTGTCCTGTTTGTTAACTGAAGCCATTTCAGTACTCAGCTGAACCCATGGCCCACATTTATTTTTTTATTGTTTTTGTGGCCAGCTCGGCCCACCCTGGGGGCAGGGCTGGCGCTGCATTGTGCTGGTGGGGATCAAACCATGGTCCCTGCACTTCTCCTAAGCTTGCCTGAGCAGGCGCTTTAGACCGCTGAGCCATTTTGCCAGCCCTCCTTTAAATTATTTCAAACCTAATGAGGTCTTTAAAAATCCGTCATTCATGGCTTAGGTCTAGAGTTAAAATAGTTGTATTATAAATTCTATGAATATTTTATATTTATTTATTTATTTATTTTCCGGAACTGGGGATTGAACTCAGGCCCTTGCGCTTGCCAGGGAAGTGCTTATTCTACTGAGCCATCTCCCCGGTGTCACGCGCGGACTTGCCAGCAAGAACGACGCGACCACTGGTTGGTTTTCTGCGCAGCTCTTTATTCTTTTCTTACATCTGTCTTCTCTCCCCCTCGAGGCCCCTGCTCTTAGCTTATAAGTCTCAGGGCTTCCAACCATAGGGTGCCACGTATGCACTGTCCATTGGTCCAGGTCTGCCGAAGCAATGCCTAAACCCAAGCCTTGGCCATATATGGAGTTGTTTACTCCAGGAGCGCTCACCCCTTGAGGGGGTGGAAGGCGGAAACCGGCGCCATCCTAGGGCGCGGCTACACGCA